ACTCAAAGCGGCTAACAATCTCCTTTCCCTTCCTCCCCCACAACAAACACTCTGTGTGGTGAGTGAGGCTGAGAGACTTCAGAGAAGTGTGACTGGCCCAAGGTCACCCAGCAGCTGCATGTGGAGGAGCGGGGAATCAAACCCGGTTCACCAGATTACAAGTCCACTGCTCTTAACCACTACACCACACTGGCACTCCAAGGTCCAACATTAAGAGCATCACTCCACCGTGATGCAGGCAGAGGCGCCGAGTTCCAAGCACCAAAGGGGAGGCTCACTGCATTGCATGCGTGTTGAGAGGAGGCTGTGAGGCCCTGCAGGGCCCTCCACCGCCACGGGGAGGCCTGGTGGGGTCTGGACCCTCAAGTTTGGGAGTCCACATCCTTGGGGGGAATGGCGTATATATGCTCAAGCCACATGTACACAGAAATGCCCCCTCTTTTTAAAGCAGTAGAACAGTAATTCCTAAACTGCGTTGCAGGGTGCACTACAGTGCTTAGAAGAGGGGGAAGCGACTAAAAGGCTCCTGTGCGGCAAATCTCCAAGGAGAGATGATGAACTATTCCTCTGCATGATTTACTGTCCTGCCCTGCCTCTTCTCCCTCTGCCAGAAGTGGCTAATCTTGGTGCATCTCTGCATTGAGAACTATTGGAATTTTCATTCATTCACAGAGCCCAGGCAGCTCTTCTCAGGGAGAATATAGCTCTGACTTTTGCTCATGCTAAAAACTGACAAAAGGTCCTCTTCTGCTAGGGAACTCCGTTGTGGTTGGCTGAATGGTGTGGGGCTGGTAGGTGGGTAAGATGCTTGCATGCCCTCCAATATTTCTCGGATAAACATAGGGATGTTTCAATAATACTATTCAATAATAATAATAATAATAATTTTACTATTTATACCCCAACCATCCGATTGGGTTGCCCCAGCCACTCTGGGTGGCTTCCAACATGGATAAAAACATAATAAAACATTAAAAAAACCTTCCCTATACAAGGCTGCCTTCAGTTGGCTCAGGGGCTGGATAACTCCACACTCTCCAAAATAGGGAAACCCTAAGTGGGACATTCCGGGATCAAATTAGAAACCAGGAAGGCTTCTGTAAATCCGGGGCTGTCCCTGGAACATAGGAGCACATAGAGAGTCTGCACTTGTGGGCTACAACCAAGCAACGGTTTGCCTTGGGGGCTCAGTCTAGACAGGGTAGAGCCCAGGCTTCACTGTGGAAGCCAACCTACTAGCTGCTTGGTGGCCTGGGGGCTTGGCTTGGGAGTGAGAACACCTTTTCCCTTTGGTTTGCTCTTAGGCTATAAAAGAGTGTCTTAGACTGCGCTCTAGGATTCCTTTTACGTATGTTAAAAGCAGGCCCTTTTGCGTGTGTAAGCATGTCATTTTTCCAATTTTTAAAAAGTGTGCATCAGCTAACAGAAGGCGTGGCAAGCCCTACAGGAGAATATTGGAAGGGTAAACAATCACAAACGGCGTTGCAAGATAACAAGTTTATACAACAGAGGCTAATCAAATCAGGGCACCAATGCAACATCTACTTGCGCTGAAAGATATTTGTCAACATTAACAAAAGGAAACATATTTCTTCATTATTAGCAAAAGTAGTTTAAGTGAACATTTGCTTTGCATTGCACATTTTGATAGAAAGTAAAGAGATTAACAGATCCCCAAGGTAACTGTTAAAATGGAGAGATTGCTAATTTGTGATCAGGTATTCCCTACTTCATATTCTAAATAGATAGGTAAGGAAGAACTCAAATATTAACGCGCTTCCTTCCACTCCCTCTAAATAACGTCTAGAGGTGTCTTGTTTTTTCTCAGGGGCAACTTGTAACTTAATTGCTTTGAGTTTTGAAAAAATCCATTGTAGGCAATTGAAGAAAAATAAATGGCAAGGACAAGTAAGATATACATATTGCAGCAAGATGGAGAAAGGAAAGTAATTACCTAGCCATGTACTAAATTAGTTCCTTTGGAAATAAGTGCTTTAAAAATTTACTTACTTTGCAACCATATACCTGTCTACTCAGAAGTAAGTTTCATTAGAACAAAATTGCTCTTACCCATGGTCTAAACCTCCTACAAGAATAGACTGTGTAATTTTCATTAAAAAAAATTAAGTAAAAAGGAACTTCTTTTTGGTCTTCCTAACACTTGCTCCTATTTCTAAAAAAGTCTTCCCCAAAGCATTTATAGTAGTGCACCATAGTTCAACGTTATGCGTCCAACTTTCCTTTCAAGGGAGACAGGAAAATGGCACACACAAACCAACACAATGACTGCATTCAGATGATCATATCTAAACTTAATAAACCAAGATAGGATGAAAAATGAAGCTGACTTAGACCATGGCTCGTTATGCAGGCTTCTTCCAAAAGTGGCAACCGTAGTTCCCAGGTTCAGATGAAACAGGAAACAATATCTAATGGGAGACACCTTGGTTTGTTTACTAGCTCATGCTGAGCATATGCATGCTTACAAGGCCAAAAGGCTCATTCACATCTTGATTTATTAAGCTAAGACATTATAATCTAAACTCTCCTAATCAATTTATTATATAATCTTGTCTTAACAACTGGGAGTGAGAATACTCTGCTTCCAGCACAGTGTTGAGATGGAAAAGCATAGCACTCTCTTTTTCTCTTCTCCTCTGAAGAGCAGACAGAGTGGGAGTTCCCACAGCTCTTCAGAGTTTCTTTCTCCATTGTAGCGCTGCATTAGGAAGAGGGGAACATATCTTCCTAGGGCACAGTGTGTTGGCAAAAGCACCTCTCTTCCCTCTTGCACCCTGCCACTGCTGGCAGTGGCGTAGCGTGGGTTGTCACCACCCGGGGCAAGGCAAGTAATTTGCGCCCCCTAACCCATGGATTTGTGCCCCCTAACCCATGGATTTGCGCCCCCTAACCCTAACCCCCAGATGTTGCGCCCGGTGCGGCCGGCCCCCCCTGCACCCCCACGCTACGCCACTGACTGCTGGGAAGTTGGAGCACTTGAGAACAAGAAGGAATGCTTTTTCCTCTTTCCTGTGCATGATGACCATGGCGACAGTGTGCGAGAGGGAGGAAAGGTGCCTTTGCAAGAGGAAGAGGCACTTTTGATTTTGCCAGGGACTAGAGGGCAGTTTCAGATGGCCTGAGCGCTCGCCAGCCTTAAATGTGATGTCAGCAGACCCACGTTTTAGAACGCAGGTCACTAGTGAGGTATATAAAGCAGGGTTTGCGTATTGCAAAGTCCTTCCCCTGGCCATGCTTTGTTCTCCAAACACCCACCCCAGAGCTGTAAATTTAAATGTTATTTGGGCTGTACAACATATTTCTGGAGTAATATTTTGTTAACGTATAAGGGGGCTTGTGCACGCAGAGAAAAAGGATAAGAAAGGATTGATTTTGGCATGCTGTTTAATTTGGGTGTGTTTTGTCCTGCACCTGCGGCTAGTTAAGCATGTGAGAATGAGTCAGGGAGCATGTGAGAATGACTCAGCACAATCTACAGTATAAATGCTATTGTGTTTAAGGCAAGTTTGTTCTTGGGCGCTGCCCTTGGCCAGAACATACTCTGTAAGAAGACTGCATGCTGCTGGAAAGACTGTATCTACAACTGAATGTAACTGAAACGGCATTATACAGTGGTACCTTGGTTTAAGAACAGCCCTGTTTATGAACTATTCTGTTTACGAACTCCGCAAAACCGGAAGGAGTGTCCCGGTTTGCGAACTTTACCTCAGTCTAAGAACGGAAGCCGAACGGTGGAAGGGCACCGGCGGCAAGAGGCCTCATTAGGGAAAGCGCGCCTCGGTTTAAGAATGGTTTTGGTTTAAGAACGGACTTCCGGAACTGATTAAGTTTGTAAACCGAGGTACCACTGTACAGTCCAAATACAGCAAGTGACACTTCCTAGCACTATTTGGTGTTTCTCTGTTCTTTTGGCACATTCGGCTGTGCATGAGGATGGGCATATGCATATGCCCCAAAGTATTTCATTTATGGGAGTATGCTTATGTTTTGCTTATGTTGCAGTTCACAAAATTCCTAAGAGAGAACAAGCAACCCAAAAGCCAGCTTTTCTCGTGAGCTCAGTATAGAATCAAGTGTTGAGCAAAACGCTTTTAGCCTTTCGTTGGCAAGAAAGTGCGCCATCCGCTTAATCCAGTTTAGCTGTTCTCTTCTGTAGTCTCTTGTTCTAGCTAGGGTACCATTCTGTTTTGAAATGGGGCTTTCAGAACTGCACACAGTTGCTGCATGCAATAAACAAATGTGCTGATCCTTCGCCATCAAGGTTTGTGCTTCTACACCTGTAACAATTCCAGATTTACTCATTCTCCTACCAATTCCCAGGAAACTGGAAAGTTACTATTATTTATTAGATTTCTATTTTTCCCAAAGGAGCCCAGGGTAGCAACCGTAGGTTGAGAAGACTTTCCTGGATTGTCTCTGGTAATTTGTTGAGAATAGATACTCCGACTACATTCCAATCCACGGGTTAAAAGGTTGATTTTAAAACATTGCATAGTAAAGTAATGCATCGCTCATGATCATCCTTTTTAAAAAAATATAACTGCTAGGTAATATTAATTAAGAAGCACATAACCCATTCTGGCAAACATTGTATTAAGCAGTTCTGTCTTTATAAGACACCAGCTAAAACGGCGATAGGCAACTTGGCTGGAATAAAACAGGTCTGATCCTGATCTGGGCTTGACTTATGCAGCAGATTTATAGTACATTAAAAAAAAAATATTGTATGCTAATGGGCAAAACAAATTCCTGAAAACTGACCCTGTAGAGGGGATGGCACTTGTCCCTGAAACATGGTGCCAAATGAGCGTAGATCTGCAGGCTATAGTAATAACTTGCCAGCTGGAGAGATAAAGCAGAAGGAGATTGCTTTTCAAAGCACTTGTTGGCATCCACCACCTAGGAGGGGGGGAAAAGGAGAGAGTTAACTTGGCTAAAACAACATCACAATGGCCAGCTCAACAAACTCTTTTGTAGTTGCTCTTCAATGCTTGGCCAATAGAGCATGTGACTCATAATCTCACGGTTGTGGGTTCAAGCCCCACGTTGGGCAAAAGATTCCGGCATTGCAGGGGGCTGGACTGGATGACCCTCGTGGTCCCTTCCAACTCTACAATTCTATGTTTTTATGAATGATGAGATAGAGACACCAGTGTCAAAGAAGGTACTCTGGGAAGAAGAGAAGGGGATGTGGCATGTCAAGTGGTAATTTTTTGAGCATCTATTTAGAAGACCAAAAAAAAAAAAAGGTTTTTCTTTCCCTTCAAAGAGCCCCAGGGGTTTCTCCTCATCTCCACCCCAACTTCTCCATGTCTGGGTAGGCTTTCCTGAACAAAGGCGTTTTTAGTGGGTGTGGAAAATAATATAGTGAATTGAGAGCTCTCAAGCAGAACCAACCCCAGACGGCATTGCATTTGGCACCAAGGAATAACTGGGAGCACATTTTATGGCTCCTGATCACAACCTTTGCAGCTGTGTCTTTACTTGGAAAATGTTGAATGTGAAGAGGGTGGGCAGGGCTTTGGGAAAGCTGCCTAACAGGCCAAATTGGGATCCCTGCAAGGTCTAACTGGGGGGGGGGGGGGGCAAAGGTACTTCACTTTCCAAGTGTTTTATAGGGTATACATTTTATAAGGTATAAATAAAGTAACAACAACAACAACAATAATAATAATGGAATAGGATGTCCCTAGTTTCACTGGAGAAATGTTGGAGGGTATGAACTTCTGGATTCAGACTGAAGCCAAGCAAATATGTGAAATATTAGAGCTGTCAAGTTTGACTGTAAGACTGAAGACATCTCAGCTGTGAACATACCTGAGGTAATGCAAGTAAGTATGCAAGGGATAGGGTCATGTCATTTGGCAAAGCTTCACTGGCCAGCTGCAACAGCACTGCAACAGAGAAAAATAAAAAATAAAAGCTTTCAACTACTGATCCCACTCTGCCCTTCCCACATACCAAGGTTGGAAATTTCCTCACTTGCTATATTTCTGAAGATTCTAGATTCATGTTTTAGTAACAGGTAGGTAGCCATGTTGGTCTGCCATAGTCAAAACAAAATAAAAAAATTCCTTCCAGTAGCACCTTAGAGACCAACTAAGTTTGTTCTTGGTATGAGCTTTCGTGTGCATGCACACCTTTTCAGATACTTCTTAATATCTGAAGAAGTGTGCATGTACACAAAAGCTCATACCAAGAACAAACTTAGTTGGTCTCTAAGGTGCTACTGGAAGGATTCTTTTTATTTTGTCTAGATTCATGTGTCCTGCATGCATTCAATTAAGCACTGATCAGTGGGGCCAAAAACAGATAATGTGTAATTAAAACTGCAAGCCCGCTTTAGCTTAACTCCCAGCCAAAGTGTTTACACGTTATCAGAACAAGATGAAATAGTGCCGTGGCAGATGTTAAAACAGAATGGCTGGAACATCTCTCATGCTGATTTACAGCACCAAAATCGGCTGGCTGTAAAACCACAGCCACAACGTAAGTTATGAACGTTTAGGAAAACAGGCAGCAGAATAGCGTGAAATATGTTGTTTCCTACAGCCTGAACATCTGTATTTCTTATCACCTGCTTTTTATGTGCCACGAGACTCAATTATTAATCAACTTTTTATCACGAGGAAGAAAGCAGCAAGCATTTTGCCGTTTTACAAATCATTACAATGGAAGAGTTATGGGTGTACATGGAAATATATGGTTATACACAGCAGCAGGCTGGGATGCTAAATATTCCTAAACTAATGAAAGGAATTAAGTAGTATCGACAATTATTCCTAAACCATGCTGATCACAGGAAGCTGACTTATACTAAGCCAGATCACTGGTCCATCTAGTTCAGGGGTGGCAACGGGATGCCTTCGAGATGCTGTTGGACTACACCAATGACCTCAATTCAAATACAATATTGTATCTATTCATAACCAAAAGTGCAATCTTATACATCTCAATCTTAAGTCCTATTGCCTGGTAAGTGTGTTTATGATTGCAGGGTAAATTTATCTGGAACTCGAACTAGATCCTATATTCCTGTCAGTATCTGAAGGTAATAAACATCTTAAAAGCAACAAACATCTCAATTTTCTAACATCCTAAACATCTTTGGAATTGCATTGCAATTGCATTGCATTGCAAAGTGATATTTGGCCTAGGAAAGGAGGCCATCCTTAGAACAGCATCCATTGCAGAAGACAGAAAGGAACGGCAGATATCAAGTCCTTAACTATAGCAACAGAGCTGCAGAGACACCCGTCTCCACCCCCAGTTTTGGAAATTAACCTCCCACTCCTACTGCCCTGTGTTGTGAGAATGGTTAAGAAGGGAACACCATTTTGGTGTTCACATTGGAATCCACATTGATGCAAGCCATTAGGAAATAGACACAGACAAGAATACCTGGGGAATAAGCTATCTATCTATCTATCTATCTATCTATCTATCTATCTATCATAAACTCACACCTCACTTAAACTGCCACTAAAGTGGCTTGGCAATATGGCTAGACCAATACAGTGGAACCTCGGTTTTCGAGCATCTTGGAAGCTGAACGATTCGGAACCCGAATGCCGAAAACCTGGAAGTGAATGCTTCCATTTTCGAATGCACCTCGGAAGTCGAACAGCTTCCGAGGTGCGTTTTTCCATTTTCTCCATTGAAATTGCTGACCGCTCATTGTGCCTCAGTTGTTGAACATTTCGGAAGTTGAACAGTCTTCTGGAACGGATTACGTTCGACAACCAAGGTTCCACTGTGTAGCTCAAGCTGGTGCAACACTGTGGCAGAAGATACAGATCATAGGCTTCATGTTGCCCTGGGTTTCAAAGAGTGATGTGGTTTTACTCTAAAACAAATAATAAATGTTCATGTCCTTCAGGAAAACTGCATAAGAAACTGTAGATTTTTGTCGGGTTTTTCCTGTTTTCTTTGATCCACTAAGCGCTCTTTTTTTCTTATTAAAAAGCAATGCTAGTTGTCTCCAGATCAGAATTTAGTATCACAATTCAAGACTTCCATGACAGAATTATTCTGTCATGTTTCTGTGGTTATCCAAAGGCCTCCATGGATACCATAATGGTAGGGAAATGGAGTTTCTCTCTCATAAGGCTTTTGCAATACTTCATCTGCAGAACTTTTCTTAAGAATAGCCATTACATTATTTCTTTTGTACAGTACAGAATTGATTTCTGGATTGGGCCCTTTTCTGGTGAATTATTGCACTCAATGGATCACACAATGGCATCTTATACACATAAATACACCAGTTTGCTCGCGTGCTTTGTCAATGGTGATTGATTTTCCTGGAGAGCCAATGCTCTCAGAACTGAAAGTAGCATTTATCTGCACGACATCAAGTCAGTTATAAATGAGTGGCTTGTATAAATGTCCATACAGGTACAATTGTGTTTAGCAGAATTAATTGGTGTGATTTTTCTCTTTTAGTAACCATGGCGGAATAAACACCCTTTTGAAAATTGCTCGCCAGTACAACTGAAGTGAGTGTTTTTTGTTTGTTTCAATTATGTCATCAAATTTCCAAGTTTTATTAGGATGTTCTGGATCTACTGAATCCTGAAGACTTTTTTCTCATACTCCTCCTAAGATCCATGGACATCTCGATCAACTTAGACAGGACTATTAAGCTGTGTTAACAAAACTAGTTTTTGTGGGGTGGAGTTAATTTCTCATAATCAAGCTGCCCTCATTTTTCATGGCAAAACTTCCACGGCAAGTAGCATTGGAATATTTCCAATTTGGATGCACATATTTCAGCTTCTGAAGATGAGGGATGCATACCACAACTGAAGACTTCCTCGGTTAGTTGACCATAGTTTCCCTTTACAGTCAAACCAGGAAACTATGATTACCACATTGGGAATAAGCTAGGATCTAAACCCAACCTATGACTATGATTCCCTATCTCGATTTGTTCAGCTAATGGTAATCATTGTTTCCCAGTTTGGATGTAGTGAGAAATATGGAAAATGAATCCAAGAAGAGAGGAGGAGACAGGCAATATGAAGACAGAACAGGCAAACATAAGTCTCGTGCATATTTCACCTTCTTGAGACAATACGAGCATCCAAACTGAGGCATCCTTTTTCAAAGGATACTTACAAAATACAAATACTTGTAACAGTTTAATTTTCAACTGGGAAAGAAGGTCGTTAAGAGCCCCCTCTCCACTTCCTCCCTCCCACTCAATGAAGCACAAAGGAGAACAGTGTTCGTTTTATGAATCACCAAGTGCAATCTTCATATAAAATACTTACTCAATTGTAATGAAAAGATCTATGCATTAAAAAAAAAGTGTGAATGCGAGGAGTGAATCTGAAGTCAAGTCAATTATAATTTTGGCAAGAAAAAGAAAGGAATAGTCAATATGGGTTGTGATTGCAAAAGTGGACTGTTCTCTGCTGAGAGAGAGCAACAGCAAAATTACACATCACTGCTCATCAAGCTGAGGCTGTGTATCACATAACTGAAAAGAAAGCACCAAAAATATCAAGTTCCAAGCATGACTGCATTATTAGGAATGCATCTCACTCACTCAACTCTCGCTCACTCACACATACAAAGTTGCCAAGGCACATGTCAAGCTATCAAATTAATAACGGAAGTAGATTTATTTGCCCATATTACCTGTATACTGAATAAGGAGGACGCTTGGATGAGCAACCTGTATCACATAGCCACAGTTCTCCGACAAGTCAGTAAAATTAATGAACATGTGTCTTCTAACAATCAGAGCACCATCAAACATTTGGGATTCTCCCTGGGTTGCAGAACATTCTCTCCAAAAGTCCCTGATTTCTGATCTCCATTGTTAATTATTCAAAGACCACAAAGACCCATTAAAACAGACATTGCGACAAAACAGATACTGCAATGCAAGTCACGTCGGATGAAGAAGCAAGGGGGTGGAGAGGGATGTTCAATCAGCACTGACAATGCAAGCAATACTCTAGAAGAATTCCTTCCCCAGAAAACTGTGATCTGAAGAATGCGGGGGTCCCATAGAAGCTTACAAGGGATTCCTCAAATGAGAAACTCAATAATGGTGGAGCAGCTTCTTAAAACTGCTGGCCACACCAATTTTCTCCCATAACCTTTGGGAGGGTGGTTTCTGTGTTCATCTACAATTCAAACAGCATGGGTGTGAAACTCAATGTGACTGCCCAATGCCCATCATCCTATGTGACCCCCACACTGGATTTTCTTGGCAGATATGCAAGGCTCCCTCACTGGACCAGCTCTTACAGTTTCAAGGTAGAAATTTCAAAGATAAGTGATCTAGACATAAGTTAGAACACCACCCTGTGACAAATATATACCACCCACCCACCCATGAAGAAAGCAAATAAGCACACACTGTACCTTCTGTGGCAGGAAAGAGATAATGCCCTTCACTTTTAGTCTCCGCAAGCTTCCCAGTTCTCAGCAATACTTCTGCAAAACTTTCCAAAGGATTGTGCTGATACATGGTATAAGTAACTTCATTCTACAGAACACAAATTTTAAGCACAAATTATAACCAGCGTTCGCTGCGTGTTTGATTTCTCTACTCTTTCCCATTATTGCAATTAGGTGCCGTTTACACCAACCACTCTCTCGCCCTTGATGCTAATCAGATCTGATTAACTGACTAGCCAGTAATTTATTTATTTTTTATCCACGGGTCTCAAGTCTAAACACTCAGACTCGAAGTGTTTCATTGCCATTTGGTGAGGTGGCTTTGCATGCCCTCTCAACATGCTGAAAGAGGGCGTGAAGGGGGTTGTGCATAAATTCTGCCCTCTGCCTGTCCTCTTCTGACATTTGTGCATTCAAACTCTATCAGAAGAAGGACTTTCGTACCAATGTATCCAGCTAGGGCTTCTCCACGCAAGGTGGGAAGCTTGCTGTAACAGTCCTCTCTGCACCTCCTTTTAACACGTGGAGGGTGGGTCATGTGGATAGGCATTTATTTATTTATTTACCAACTATTTAACAGGTCGTAAACTTACATCTGCAAGGTATGGATCATCTATCAGAGATTCATAAAATGGATGGCAGCCTTGCTTTTCTACTGCTTTATTTGCTCCAGTGCTGCCTTTTGATGCATCTCCAAACTCTTGACCCTGTTTAGGGGAGGGAAAGACGGAGAAGCCCAAATATTAAGACATCGTAAGCTCTTACCTGGAAAAGTCCTCACATTTCAACAAATGTTAAAAGACAAGATA